GGATCCTTTGTAAATCTGGGGCCAGGCTTGACCTGGGGGGCGAAGGAGTGTCCCCCTCTCCCTCCTGCCGCCTGTGCTGTCCCCCCGCCTCCACTGTGCCCTCCGCATCGTCACCTCCCTCTGCACCGCACGGCCCGCGCTCCGACGCCCACCTGACTCTCCAGGGAAGCGCTGCCTCGTCCTGCGTCCGGAGCTTCCCGGAGGGTGGGCACCAGGGACTCCACCGTGACCAAGCTCGTTTCTGTTTCTGAGATTGCTTAGATTTTATAGCAATTTAGCCCGACCCCTCTAGGGGAGTCCCGCAGTGAGGGGCGTAAGTCCCATTATCACTGAATGTTCCAAGGAAACGAAAGGTAAACTAGAAATCTCTGTAAGATATTAACTCCCCTCCCACCTGCTCTCAGCAGAGACCTTTCCTTAAGGAAACTGAACAAGCAAAGCCATTCGGGTTGGGGGAGGGGACAAGGGACAGGATCAATCGTGCACACACCTGTCCCCTGCTCTAGACCACAAGTTCCCTGGGGCTATGGCGTCCGATTTGTTTGTCCCCAGATGACAGCTCCTGACAGGTGCTTGCTGATGTTTGCAGAAACAGAAGGAATGAGGAAGAAAGAGAGGAAAGAGGGAAGAGCCTCAGTCCCATCGACTGGGCTTCCTTCCCTTTGGCCCAGCATCCTCCTCACAGGGCATCTAAAAACACTCCTCCGCTGGAGAAAGAGAGCGTGGCCGGCGCAGCCCGTGAGGCCCTGTTTCCTCCTCTCAAAGTTCTGGGTCTGACAAACTGAACTTGTCTTTGCTTCTTCCTTCAGGAAGCCTGGCTTTTAACTTTCTTCCTTCTAAATGCACCGCCATCCACCCCCAGGGTCCAGGATTCCGGGGTCGAGAGCCCATCACCGCGACGCAGGGCGCAGATTCGGGTGCTCAGCGGGATTCCACACACCCCGGGGCGGAGACGCGCTTGGTCCTGGCTGTGCCAAACGCAACCTATCCATGATAATTAGGCTTTCTTTTAAGCCATCTGTTTATATAACTTCCTCTTCTTTGATTTTCATATTAGGCGTTTCTAGAGGAGAGGCTGATGTCACAGGGCCCCGTTCCAGATGTTGTTTTGAAATCAGCGTAACTATGGCACTGCTGGAGGCTGCGAAGTCTGTCTGGGCCAACTGAGTCATGCCTGGGTGCAGGGCCGCTTGGCGTGGGGAGGCTGGGAGGGAGGCGGCCCAGGGCAGGGACCGGAGTGTCCCTGCGGGGAGGAGAAGTGGGTGTGTGTGTTTTTGAGGACTCGGAGGCGCCTCCGGCAGAGGCTGTGGGGACCAGCTGCCACTCTGAACCTTATGCCTGGACAGCTCAGACAACCGGACCCTCACTTGCTAGAGCTCATTCACGGATCTTTAAGGCTCACCTGTGCTCCTGAAAAGGGAACAAAAGATCTCGCGTTCTGAGCTGGATAACAGCCCCGCCTGCCGACCCGGTGCACCCTTCCTCAAAGCCGGCTCACAGGGCTCGCCACCCCTTCCTCCCCCAGTTCTCCCAGCACCGCACCCTGGCGCACGCCTCCGCCTGTTCCCACCCCTGCCCACCCCCCGGCTTCTTTCCTGGAGCACCCCGCTTCCAACAGCCGCCTGCCACCCCCTCCCCATGTCGAGCTGCGCACCCTGCTTGGCGCGCCGCGGCGTCCCTGACAAACCCGTGCCCCACGCTGAGCGCATCGGAAATAAGAACGATCCGGTCTGTCCCGGTCTCCACCGTTAGCCTCCAAGCATCGTCCAAGCTCCGACTCGTGACACCGTACGGCCGTTGCAGGGACGCAGTGGATGCTGCCGTAGTCACTAACTACTGAATGACCCAGAATCGGGGTCCCTACACTCAAGTAGAAATCACAATGATAGTATTTAGCAGGCAACTGCCACGCGCATTGCTCTGTTTTTGGTGGATTTTCTCATAGAAACACCTATAACTTTATCCTCCTGAAAGAGGCACGCACCGTGCTTAATGTTCTCCATTTCACGGAGGAGAAAACGGAGGCCCAGGGAGGTAAAGTGAATTGTCTACCGTCACACAGCTCGTAGATGAGGAAGGCAGACGCCC